GGTGTTCAATCCCACAGTGTCCTACATCTGCACCCAGTAAACACAGAGCAGTTATGTAAGCAATGTCATATAAAGAGATATATTTTTTTATTTCATTTCACTTCCTTCCACATTTGAAGCACGCGAATAGAGTGGTGAAACCTGGTAGAGTGTGTATCCCTACGGCTGTGTACGCCCTACTCCTTTAGACAACCCTTGCTTAGATATATATTTACCCTAGTTTACTTGTCTGTATTTTATTAAGCGTACGTTTTTTTTTTTTTTGGCCTTGTTGTCTGAACATATATAAGTTGAGTTTACTTCAAAAGAATCGTTAAATAATTAATAATAATATGTAATAGTAAGCCACAATGTCCGCATAGTCCTTCATAATTATTAATTACCGATTTCGTAACTTCCCTGGTTATTCTTCAGAATTAATTATAAAAAACAACTAAAAAGTTATATAAACTTCATACTAGATTTACTTAAAAACGAAAATAAAGAAGGATAAAAAAACAGAATACACATTAAAATATAGCTATTAATAAGATAAATACAAATTATTAAGGATTATGCTAATTGTTTTACCATACACATATATTAATGTGTAGTCTCGTACAAAGCCCGGCATAGCCAGGTGGTTAGGGCGCTCGAATCGTAATCCGAGGGTCGCGGGTTCGAATCCCTGTCACACCAAACATGCTCGCCGTGTGGGCGTTGTAATGTAACGGTCAATCCCACTATTCGTTGGTAAAAGAGTAGCCCAAGAGTTGGCAGTGGGTAGTGATGACTAGCTGCCTTCCCTCTAGTCTTACACTGCTAAATTAGGGACGGCTAGCGTAGATAGCCCACGTGTAGCTTAGCGCGAAATTCAAAACAAACAGTCTCGTACAGTATCCTATTAGAGTAAGCTTTCTCGTATAGCATCTCGTGCAGAATCATATTAAGGAATGTTGCAAAATAAATCATACACATGGCCAGGTGGTTAGGGCGTTCGACTCGTAATCTGAGGGTGGCGGGTTCGAATCCCTGTCACACCAAACATGTTCGCCCTTTCATCCGTGTGGGCGTTGTAATCCCCGAAGTAATGACGAACTTGGTAGGACCGCGAATATCATCACTCGTGAGAAAACGTCATTTTAACGCACTCTTGGGTGTTTGACTCTTCGAAATTCATTTTTTGCGAAAACTTTTGAATCATGGTGTTCACTAAAACTCAGGTTCGTATC